TTTTACTGTAGCATTTTTACAGTCTTTTACCGTTAAATTCACGGTAATTTTTTACAGTGTGCATTTATTTGAAAAATAAAAAATACAGTAAAAAATTGTAATATTGTAATAAATACTGTTTTTTTTGTTTTTTTTTATATATTTAAATGTAATTTATTCCGGTGATGCAAAGCTGAATTTTCAGCATTATTGCTCCAGACTTCAGTGTCACATGATCCTTCAGAAATCATTCTAATATGCTCAATTATTACAGGTGCTCAATTATTATTAATGGTATATATTATAAATAAATTTTGCAAACCTTTTTTGCCGCTTTGTGAAACTAGTAGTACATTTTTTCCAGGATTCTTTGATGAATAGAAAGTTCAGTGAACAGGATTTATTTGAAATGGAAATCTTTTGTAACATTATAAATGTATTTACTGTCACCTTTGATCAATTTAATGCACCCTTGCTGTAAAAAAAAAAAAGTTTCTTGTGTATCACAATTTCCACAAAAATATTAAGCAGCAGAAACGGTTTTCAACAATGATAATAATAAGAAATGTTTCTTGAGCAGCAGATCAGCATAATAAGAAATAAGATGTAGAAGTTTAACATTTTAAAATATTTTGCCCTTCTTTGTCACTCAGGTTTTTGATCAGAGTGCCCTGTCACACGAGGCAAAGGAAGAAATGTATAAGCTGTACCCCAACGCTAGAAGAGCTCACCTCAAAACAGGTGGAAACTTCCCGTATCTGTGCAGAAGTGCGGAAGTTAACCTGTACATACAAGTGAGTCCACAGTTTCAACCAAAAATTACAATTCTGTCATTATTTACTCACCCTCATGTTGTTCCAACCCTAAATGACTGACTTTTTTCTGTGGGACATGTATGAAGAAAATCTGAAGGCTGTTTTCCATGCTCGCTCTCCTGCAATTATAATAATCTGAAGATTTCAAAAACCCTATGAAAGTACTCAGATTGTGTCCGAATCTTACCCATACGATAGCTTTGTGTGAGGAACAGAGTCATTTCTGTTGTTATTTGCTAAAAATCTTCAAGTCAGTTCTTGAACAAATTGTTCATTTGATCTAATTAAGAAAACTGGTCTGAATGATTCATTCTGGAATTCACAAACTCACGACTCAATGATCTGATTGCAGCAGTTAATGACTTTCTGGAGGAAGATTATCAGTGAATAACGACAGTCTGTTTTAAAGACATAAGGACCAATTTTATGATACTTAAGCTTGACATTTTCAGTGAATAGAGATAAAAACAATGCAATCATGTTGTGATTTCAGGGGCTTAATTTGCACTGTTACTCTGGTTTTATTCCGTAGATACACCTGCGTCAGTTTCATGGGACACGGTACGCCGCTATCAGTCCAGAGATGGTCAGCGCAGAAGAGCTGGAAGTGCAGAAGACAAATCTGAGCAACGACAGCGAGAGTGACGACGAATCGTAGAGAGCCCAGCAGGCTTCACACAAACATCCTCTGAACGCTTACTAGATGAATCGGGACCTGAATTTAACCCGTTTCAGCTACACAACATTCAGAGGTCATGTTTCGGTATTCTGTTTTTCTATGACCTTAAACTCAGTCAAATGTGAATGGAGCCTATTTTCACTTTACAGAAAATAAACAATATTTTGATAAGTATAATGACTGTAAATAAGTGAAATTGAGTACATGGTTAGTTTTCATAGAATGACATATTTTGACCCGGTTGCCTTACACAATATAAAACGCACGTCATTGTTCAATTTAGCACTTTTTGCTTCTTGAACTTCATTTTCTGCCTTTTGTACATTGGTGTTATTTTTTGTTACGTTTGTTTGTATGAATGTCGTCAACGTCATTATGTGTGTTGCTTGTTGGAGTCATGCACTGATATAAAATGAAACTTGTTTCAACATCAGATTGTGTAAAACCTATTAACTTTTCCAAATGACGTATCAGGAGTGCTTGATTTGGAAACAAATCGAAAAGTGTCATTATTTACCTAAATAAAGCTGTGTAACCGCAAAAGACCGGTATTGCTCTTTATTATAGATTTACAACTATTTTAATGACACGTTTTGCATTTGCTAAAAGTATTATCATACAATTAAAACACTGCTATGACTACACAATATAAATTATGAAAGTGTTTATATAAGAATCAGATTAATGAATTAGGCATTACAAATTTATGGCATGCAAATAAATTCAACATTTATTTAATTATACAATGGTATCCAAAAACATTTTAAGTATCATCTACATACCATAGTATATGAATATAGTAATCATTCAATACCATGGTATTATTACAACAGTATCGTGACGTTTTTCTGAGTGAAACATCTTATGGGATCAGAATAGAGGTGGATGTGAAAGCCACTGGCTTAAAGGAATAGTTCACCCAAAAATGACAATTTGTGGCAAATGTACTCACCCTCAGGCTATCCAAGATGTAGATGAGTTTATTTCTTCAACAGAAAAGATTTGTAGAAATTTAGCATTACATCACTTGTTCACCACTGGATCCTCTGCAGTGAATGGGTGCCGTCAGAATGAGAGTCCAAACAGCTGATAAAAACATCACAATAATCCACAAGTAATCCACACCACTCCAGTCCATCAGTTAACATCTTGTGAAGTGAAAAGCTGTGTGTTTGTAAGAAACAAATCCATCAAGAAGTTTTAATTTCAATCCATCGCTTCTGAATCAGGAAAGAAATATGCACAGACCAAGCACCAGTTACAAGTGAAAACAGTCCAAAACAATTAAAAACAAATATTATGGACTATTACAGAAAGATTATTGGACAAATTATTGGAAGGAAGCCTTGTGGCAACAAAAATACAGAAACGCAGAACTTCCTGTTTTAATATTTTGTTTATTGAGACCGTTTGTGTTGCTTGGACACACTTTGCAAAATCACTCCCGAAGAAAACAGCTGCATGTTCCTCAGAGACGGCTGGTGTTGATTATTTTGCTTGCGTCATACTTTCACTTCATTTAAAACTGACAACTGTGATGCGCCTGACTAGCATTTGGGTTTGTGCACACAATAATATTTGGTCTGGTTAGATATTCACTGGTGTCTGCAAATTTGCAGAAATATTTTCATACGTCAATATTAACTTTTAACCTGTTTCAGATCAGCACTGAATTTCCTGTTGAGTCACAGTCCACTAAAGCCATTATAACAAAAATATAAGTATAAATATAAATATGATAAGTACACATTTCATTACACCAAATACACAAAATAATGTTCTTTTTAGCAACATCATATGACCCCTTTAAGCTGTTGCTAAAAATAACATTATTTTGTTGTCTTTGCAATCTTTGCAACTTTACAGATCTTCTTTATGCACTAAGAGCTTGTAACACTCCAAAGAGAAAGAAATCGTATCAAAAATTTAAATCATAGCATATGACCCCTTTAAATGGTGGCTGTCATAAAAACTTGTTTTCATGACAGATTTATTCAAATATTGAAGAACAGGTTAAGTAAAAATATAATGAATATAGGCTATAACAGTGAATATATTCACCAAAATGCCTACAGTTCTCTAGTTTATTTTTCTAGATAACTAGCTGTGGACACTGAATAGCTTTTCTGAGGTAATTGTTACGTGACATATTAACAAGCTGTTTCATTGACGTCTTTCCGTAGCTGAAACACTGATTGAGCAATTACATGAGACATGTTACATTTTCAACATACCTTCCGATGTTCCTTCATGTTTATTTTGTGCAATAACTAGTAGTAAGGGGGAAATGTTTGATTCACGTGCACTCTACTTTCATAAAAAAAAGTTACATAATTTTGAAGCTCAGACTTTGTTTTATATCAAGTAACAAAGCACAAAGCTTGTTATTACAAATAATGTTTAGGGAAGTTTTGTTTACTCAACTGAAAACAGCATAAAAGATTGATTCTTGGGATTTAAGAATCAATATTATCAAGTAACAAAGCACAAAGCTTGTTATTACAAATAATGTTTAGAGAAGTTTTGTTTACTCAACTGAAAACAGCATAAAAGATTGATTCTTGGGATTTAAGAATCAATATTAGTTCCTCAGAGAATTGATTAAAATCGAGAAATCAATGTCAGGCCAGTCCTAATCTGCATTAAATACTGCAGAGGTTTATTAATCAATTAATTTCATTGCACCTTCTCTCTCTTGTCCCGTGTTCATATAAGAACATTTGCACACACAAAAGTTTGGGCCTTTCAGTCTGGCGAGTCTCATAATGAACAGGATGATCAGTCAAGAGACTCTAACATTACTGCACACTACACACACACACACACACACACACACACACACACACTTAAACACGTCTGTTACCCAGTATCCTGGCTAATGCAGCTGCATTAGTATTATATTTGTTTCTAGTGTTAAAAATAACTATTTATTACAGCAGAAATGCTGCATCTACAAATAAATTTAGGACAGAAAGACATGCATAACTGTAAAAATGAACCTGAAATTCAGCATAACCAAAAATGTTATTGTTTGGGGAGTTTTTCCTGACGGAGAAAAAAAAATCTTCCTGTTCTCCTAAAAAAAAAAAAAAGTGCTGTAATTTTTTTTCCCCACAGAAACACATTGTTTTAATCCAAAGTCATGTTTGCTGTAAATATTTGCTCTGGGTGTGAATGGCTAAGTTATCCTCTCAGTCACATCACTGAGGTTGTATTTTAGGGAGTATGTGCGTTTCATCAGTGCTGTGTATTTGAAGAGCATCCGATCTCCTGGCTGGTACGTGCTCAGTCCAGACCTTTCTCAATAAATCTCACATTGTAGAGCATTTTTTAGCAGAAGACGGATCCGCATTTGCAAGCTGTCGCATGCTTTCTGTTTGAAAGAAAAGAAAGTTTATAAAAGAGGGAAGGTAAAGCAAGGTTGTAGACAGTGAAACAGTTAAAAATAATATACTCTTCCTGTTCCCCTAAAAAAAAAAAAAAGTGCTGTAATTTTTTTTCCCCACAGAAATACATTGTTTTAATCCAAAGTCATGTTTGCTGTAAATATTTGCTCTGAGTGTGAATGGCTAAGTTATCTTCTCAGTCACATCACTGAGGTTGTATTTTAGGGAGTATGTGCGTTTCATCAGTGCTGTGTATTTGAAGAGCATCCGATCTCCTGGCTGGTACGTGCTCAGTCCAGACCTTTCTCAATAAATCTCACATTGTAGAGCATTTTTTAGCAGAAGACGGATCCGCATTTGCAAGCTGTCGCATGCTTTCTGTTTGAAAGAAAAGAAAGTTTATAAAAGAGGGAAGGTAAAGCAAGGTTGTAGACAGTGAAACAGTTAAAAATAATATACTCAATAACTCTGATCTGAAACCCAGAGAGTTTTCTCGCTGATTACAATAGTCTAGGCAAAATCATGGTCAAAACAGGAAAAGACAGATATAAAGTTGTCAGTTCTTGGCCAAAATAATCCAACTACAATTTTAAAATTGAATTTGCACACAAATTCACTTCAGGGCATTCTGGGATAGCCTTCAAAAAAGACACATGCAATTCTGCCAACAAGCTCTTCATTTTGCTGCCTTTGAGTCTGAAGTGCACATATGATGCATAAAAATTCAGTTTAGACGGGCATCACAACAGGTTTGGGAACAGACCTTATACACGTATAAACTGAAATGCTGAATTCACCTGCCAGATCGATCCTTGAGATTCCTATCAGATCTTCATACAAACCCTTGATGGGGTTTTCTCCAGCAGTGATCACTCCGTGCAGCCAGATGAGCAGCATCCTGTGCCCATGCTCCTTGTAGCTCTTTGTACCTTTAAAGTTCAGAGCTTGTCATCACTATGACGGATATCTGTTGGTGTCTTCAGTTTAGTTTGAGTAGTAGTGCCGAGGAATACAACGGCTCTTAAGGATCTTGTTTTCTGATTAAGAATTCAAAATAGAGTTAAGCAGACTGCTTCACACTAATTACTATGGTTACTGGCTCATGTAATTGTGGCGAGGGGGGCGTGGGAAGGCTGCAGCGGGAGAAAGGGTTTGGAGACGAGCGGTGATAAGGAGGTCAAGTGAATAATGATTAACACCTGTCTGTAATTCCAGTGATTGGGGGATAGACGAGAGATAAGCGCCCCGCAGACCTGGGAGAGGAGGCCAGCTGCATCTGAGAGAGAGTCGGAGCAGAGTGCGTGTGTGTGTGTGCAAGACTGTGGAGGCAGAGAGCCGAGCAGCACTTTTTTTTTGTTCTGTTTTGTTTTGGGGGGAGTAAATAAAGAGGTTTACCCGCCACCCCTGACTTCCTCATCCTTCATCTCAAACGAACTGTATTACACTGGTGCCGAAACCCGGGACGAGGAAGCCGGCACGCCGCCTTCCCGAACTACGAACTGTATTACACTGGTGCCGAAACCCGGGACGAGGAAGCCGGCACGCCGCCATGCAGCCAGCTCAACCAACGCCGCTTGCGGAGCTCGTTAAGTCGCTCGCCGGGCTTCACCAAACCCAACATCAGGTGCTGATGGACCTCAAGCTGGAGCAGGAGGATCGGTTCTGCCTGTTGGTCCAGGCAAAGGATGAAGACCGGCGGGCTCCTGATCCCGCTGCTGACTGGGGAAGCACAGGTGGCAGCCCAACATCTGCCTGTAGCGAACCTCCTGGCTCATGACGATCTGAAGCGGGCCATCCTTCAACGAGTCGGTCGTACCCCCGAACAACATTGGCAACGCTTCCGGTCAAGGGAGCTGGGGGACAGCGGCTGGCCATTCGTGATGGCCCAACAGCTCTGGGACGCTTGCCGCAAGTGGCTGTTGGCGGAGGAACGAGACGTCGAGGGAGTGGTCGATCTGGTGGTGCTGGAGCAGTTCATCGTTCGGCTACCCCGGGGGACGGCCGAGTGGGTCCAGTGCCACCAAGGCCTGGGCCGGCCTGCTGGAGATGCGGGGACCCGGGTCATTTTTTGGACCGGTGTCCAATGATGGAGGTGGGAGCGTTGATCCGGGTTCCCGACTCCCCGGCGGCTGCCCCCGATCAAGCCGGTCTGTACCAAATACCTGTGAGTATCAAGGGGGGTACATATCAGGCTTTGGTGGATTCAGGCTGTAACCAAACCTCCATTCATCAAAGCCTGATGCAACAAAGGGCGTTGGATACGAGCCGCAAGGTTAAGGTGAGGTGTGTGCACGGGGATGTGGTGGACTACCCTTTAGTGGCTGTTAGTATTCGATTTCGGGGGAAAACGCATAGAATGAAGGTGGCAGTTAATTCCCACCTTGACACAATTATCGGGGGTTTTGTGTGCGGATGCTTCTTGGGAGACAGGGCTGGGAAACGGAGAAGCGGTGGCGCAGGCTGGAGATGCGGTTTCGGGACCTTCACAGGATTCAGAGGAAACGAGAGCGAGGGCGGAGCTTATGTCCCCTGAGCTGGATGACTGGATGACCAACCACTCTCTTATCCTTATTTTTCCCTTATAAAAGATAGGTTGTATCGGGTGACCCAAGATACCCAGACAAAAAGAGATACAACCCAGTTATTAGTCCCAAAAAGCCTTTGGGAAATGCTTTTCCAGGCGGCTCATAGTAGTCCCATGGCAGGCCACTTGGGGGAGGCAAAGACACGTCAACGACTCATGGCCCGATTCTTTTGGC